TCTGAACTTTGTATGTGACAGAAATTTATTTTATGTTTGTAAGGGTAGTCATTGTTCTACCTTCAGTTTAATGGTAAATTTTCTTCTGGTGACAAAGCCCTCTGAAGGAATTAATTGTGTTTCTGACCTTCTGCAACAGATTGCCATTTTCTTCACTGGTCTGTCTCAGCTGTTGATAGACCTGTGAACTGGTTTGCTGTGGATCAGAAAGGGAATGCACACTTGGGATAGAAGCTGAGGAGGGAAAGATAGTTTTTAAACTTGATCTGGTAGCAGAGATGTTCTGATGTGAAACTATACTGTGAGAGGCCTGCTTGTCCTTCCTCCCAACAGTAGAAACACCAGAATTTTGTCCACAACCTGTTAGAATAAGTTTATTTTGAACATGTAAGTAAATTCCTGTGACTTGTTTGAGCATTTTCGCAGGGGAAAGCCTATCAAAAGACTAGTTCTAAATCAGTTTAATTTTGCATATAAACTATTCCACCATGATAGTTATGGTGGATTGAATTGTGGCAAATGTGAAATAACAGCTGGCTTAGAATGGAGTATGGAAATTAAAAAACTGAGGAGTTTTGAACAGATTTCCCAGTTAGGTGACTCAGTGGCCATAGTGTCTTTTCCTCGCTTTTTTGACTTTGTTCCTGAACGACTTGAGTTTTTTCCAGTGTGTGTCATGCACCACATGTTTTATTCACATTCCAGGTATCCCACATTTGTTTTCAGAGAGTCAAAAACTAAGACTTTTTTTTTGTTCCTTCTCTCCTTCTCCCCTCTTCCACAAATCCTAGTCTATTTATAAATTGCACAACTTGGCATCGAAGAACTGTGGCCAACGTGCAAGCGTAGAGTTTAATTATCAGTCATTCTTTTTGATGTTGGTTTGGCAACCAGACAGACAAAATTGCATTGCAGATGTCTGGTTCAAGTGTTATATGGGCAAAGCAGAGAGAATTGAGTAAACATTTTCACTGTGTCCTTCTCAAACCTTTTTATTCTAACTCTACTGTGAGAGGGAAGACAATTTCTACAGATGGTGGTTGTAGTTTTTTCATGTTGTAGTTTTTTCGTATTGTTTCATTTGCTTGGAGTGCAACTTCTGTTCAGCTTCTGAAGGAGTTATGGCCAAATCTTTCTTAAAAACATGATTGTTACCCAAAAGAACATAGTTCTTGGTAGATGGCCATTTTACCAGCATTCAAAAAGGCTTTCAAAGTGAAAGGCACAACATTTCATCTTATACTGTAACAACACACAGAAGAAAATACTTGGCTGTTGCTTCTAAGAGGAGTATTACACATTCATTATCAAAGGTGTTTACCTCTTGCTTTGGACAAGAACTGTTGTCCTCATTACATATGCATATATAAAAGGATATACATGAACCGGGCATGAGTTAGCTACTGAGGTAGGGCAAAATGCTCATCTCAGTTCTCCCTTTTTTCCATGCCAGCATAAATCATGAATAATTCCTTGAATGTAATAACGTAAGACTGTTTTTATCCGAATGTAAATGAGAGAGAATGCCAAGTTGTTGGTGGAAATATACAAAACCTTGTGAAAACTGGATTTCTTGATATATATATTACTTTGCCCTTGAACAACACTATTTTTCGCTTCATTCACTGTAATGAATCTAATTGTTTTCCTTTTAGAGTGAAAGCATAGAGGGGCTAGTATGTCTACATTTGAGAAAATTTATTATCTTTCTTTCAAAGTGAGGTAACATTGCAGTTTGCTAACATGAGACTATCGATTTGAGTAGGAGTGGAATGCTTTAAAATCTTTTAAAACTATGATGGTGTCCCTTTCTTAAGAGATTTTTAGAAGGGTGCTGGAAATAAACCCACCTCATGATATTCTTAAGGTCTGAGCCAAAAATCACTGAATCCAGCTGTGGCTGCAATAGCTGTTCTCACAGGTGGTCACAGGGGTTTTAGAGGCTTGAGTCCTATACAGAACAACGGGAGAACATTTTTTGCGATATGTCAGAAAAAGGAAGGATCATGTTCTGTATTTTTCTAGCTTGATAAACTCAGATTTGAAATAATCATCATGCTTCCAAGCTCTGTCATTGCTTCTCCTCAGATTAATTCACTGTCTGGCACATTGATGGACTGAGCTTGGGCACAGCAGTCCTAATTATTTTTCTTTTTCAAAACAGTTAAGCCATAGAACATTGTGCTGTTTTCTTCTTGGCAACTGTTTAATCCATACTGCCAGGACATTGTTGAGCTCTTCTCACTTTCTCTTGGCAGGAATGGACAAAAAAAAATAGGTTACAGATCGCATTTGTCACTTAAAATTTCTGGAGGAAGCCTCGTGAGCCATAAACTTCAACTTCATTGACCCTGGTCAGCTGCTCTTTAATGCCTCTGGGTTTTGAATACTTCTTGTGCTAATTTGTGGCCCTTTGTTGAAACAATAGTCAGTCTAGAACAGCTCAGATTGTGGACTATTTTTCATGTCTGCTTTGACATATTTGGAGTACTGTACTAGCTATGCATGTTGCCCAACTCTACAAATAAGGAAGGAGTAAGATAAAAAATCAGAATAAGCCCTGTCTCCTCTTTCTTATTCCACATTGTTGGGATATGTTCAGTGCTGTTTCCCTTACTGTCAAGTGCAAAGTGTGTCACTTCCAAGTCGGGAGGAAACTTGGGAACAAACTGAATCTCCTTCTGCCCAGTGCTGCTGCAAGGCCATTACTGCTGTATGTTGGCTCACACAGAAGACTTAAAGAAAAGCTATAGGGCGTTTTCCTTCCTCACTTCATATAAAAAACAAAAACAAAACCAAAAAACCCAACAAATGGTAAAATAAAGAAAAACTGCCTCCTAAAAATTACCTCTAAACTTACTTGGCATATGCCAGGTTACAGCGTAGTCCCAAAGCATTTGAATTATATTTACAACATAAATATTTACATTTATCATTTTAAAAGCTATACTCTACCATGTAATATCATATTTCTGTATATTATGTGCAAATGTGATAACCCATTGTTGCAAGGATCTTAAAAACTATGCTGTGACGTGAATGTAGAATTACTAAACTGATACATGTTACTTAAAGATTGGTTACTGCAAATAGTATTGCCACTCTGACTTGTGCGAGTTGTCTTTATGAAACAAAAGAGATTACACGGTTAATTAAGTTACTACCATTTGAGTGTCTCTGTCATGATACCACTCATGTTGCTTGAGACTTCACACAGCCTGTTGCTTATGACAGCCTTGCAAATGTTAGGTGTAGGGGCTGTACTCATCTCCCAGAAAATTCCTGATATTTCCTCCAGTTTTGTGCTTGCTCTTCAAGTTATGGCATTCCCTTAAACCAATGATAATGTTGTCTGTGCATCACTTTAAAGCCCTCTTGTTCTGTTTTCCCTTTTATGATTGCATGTATCCTTCCTAAAGGATAAGCAAGGTTGGTAAGACATAAACAAATGTAGATGGTCACATGAGGCAGTACTGAAACAGGCATGACCCCATTGCCCATTTTCCTGTGTAAGACCCTAGGAATGAGAAATTAGCTGCAGATGAGATAGTGTGAGAAGAGCAGGAATTGTAGTAATAAAAAGCCACTCCCTTACTCCTTTCATCTGAGCTGGAAATTACTTTGGAGGCTTGTCTTACTGTCGCAGAGCTCTATGTCTCAGTTGTGTGCTGTCTTTCCTGTGGCAGTAATGGCCTGGCTCTGAGACCCACCTTCTGCAAGAGAAAATTTCAGTTTTGCTTATGCTCCTGAAAGGAATTGAGCTCAATTCTATAGACAAGGAGGTTTGTCATTAAATTCTGTCAGAACAGAATTATACTTGTTAAAAGAAATCCTGGTCTTCTCAAAATCTCATTTAACTGTTTTCATTAGGAATACTTTAAATCTGTAGTGCTAACCTCAGGTAAATCTTTCCTAGTGTGAGTGAGCTCAGAATCAATCTCTGAGTGGGATTGTGGTCAGTCTTTGTGAGGACCAAGTCTTATCTGCCTTTCATTAGATATGTTATCTTGAAATTCTTTTTTTGGTGTTTTTATTTTCTGCCACCAAAATGTTAACATATGTTTCAATGGCTGAAGTGCAATATCATGTCCTGAGTGTTCTCTGTATAGCTGCTTTCTGTCTAGCATCACTCCATCTTATTCTCTGACTTGTGAAGTATTTGCTTTTTACAGAAATTTAGTCTCATTTTAGTGATGGTGACTTCTTGAGTTCTCTGAAGCTTTGGTGTTTTGCAATATTTGTAATCACTCCTAACCATACTTTGGAATGATCAGGGAGTTTCATCTATGTTTAGTTTACTTCTTGCAGTGTGATTCATGAAGATGTTGTGCTGAGTACTAGCACATATTTATCAACATCTACAGTGAACTGTTCCTTAGAGCAGAAACTGTTTTTTCAAGCCAGCTGTGCAGAGACTGTTAATTTGCGGAAAATATTTGTTCCTTCTGAAAAGTCACTGCTAAGTGTGTGAGAAAACCTTCCTTCTTTAACAGCAATTCAAGATTACTAGTCATTACTAGTCTTTCAAGACATCAGAAGATGTTGTCTATGTTGCCGTAGATGTCTTTTCCATTGACTCTCACCAATTTAATCCAGGAGGACTACAAAGGCAAAGAATGATGGCATATCTGGGTACTCTTCTGATCAGCCAAATCATCTTCAGTACTTTCTACTAAACATTTGGTTGAAATTCTGCTACTCTTTATGGAAGTGAAGGATATTTCACTGACTTCATGTAAGAGAGGCAACATCCTCACTCTTCCCTGAGCAGACTATTATAATGATACAGGATTGTCTTTAACTTCTCAGAACAAAGAACCCCAAACTGCCCAAATCACTTTTTTCATTTGATGATATTGACTTCAAGATACTCAAGGGTTTCATCCCTGCCTTTGACAGTCAGTATTTTAACTTTCAACGGTTGTTAAGAAGCTGTAATACACATTTAAAAATTACACGCTTAACAAATGTTTTCCCGTTTTTTCTCCTTTTTTTTCCAGAAAATATTTTGGAGAAAAGATAGGACTTTATTTTGCATGGCTGGGTTTATATACAGAATTTCTCATTCCATCTTCAGTAGTCGGAATTATTGTATTTCTTTATGGATGTATAACCATTGAAAGTGACATTCCTAGGTAAGCTTCTCTTGAAAATTATAAGACTATGTTTTTTGTTTATAATCCTAAGTGAAAATAATTACTTTTACCATGTCTGAAAAGCACCGATATACCATTAAAAACCCTGTGAGCATTAGAGATACACATGTGTTGAGTAGCTAAGAAATTTAAATGACACACATTTACTTGGCTCTTCCATATTGCAACTCCTGAAACAGAAATGTTCAGTGAGACATCTGTGCTATTTTAAGTCCTTTTTTTATGACATCCATTTGCTTTTTATGAGTGCACATATCTCCACGCTCACCCAGAAAGACATCGTGCAGAACTCACTGAAGTTAATGCAAATACACTATCCAGTACTCTTGGATTACTTTGTTCTTCTTAGTAAAATCAGGGCATTTGCACAAGTAAGATGAACAGCAGTTAGTATATTTAGCATACTTGGTACCCAGAGTATTCTCCCTCTTGATAGATACAAAAAAATGTTGAGCTTTGTTCTCTGGGACCTGAGGGTGTTAAACTAAACAGAAATTGCCAAATTGACTTAATGTCTGCTTCTCAGTGAAACAAAAAGGACTCTTCCTCTGTGTTATCTGTGTCTGACTTGAGGTGGTAACAGGATGCTGGATTACTTGTACAGCTGGTCACACTCGTTGTGGCAGTTCCTGCATTCTCTCATATGAGTTGGCAACTTTTCAAGCGGCTCACTGCAGTAGGACATTATTGTTGATAAGTAAATGATGAATGACGGCACATCTGAGTTTGAGCTTGTTTCCTTAGCTCAGCCTGAATGAATCTTGATGGGCTGTGCTTGTCTGTGGGAAAGCTTGTGCTAACATTTAAACTTAAGTGAGATTTATGGCTAAGATGTATCTGCAGCACCCTCTACTGCCTTTTGAAATAGAAGAGAGCATTACTTTAGTGATATGATGGTTAGAAACTGCTGTATGCCTTTCAAAAATATAAAATGAAGTGTATTGATACTATGATTTTAATAGTTCTTTTTTATCTAAGGTCAGAGAAAAAGAAGCTATTTAATGATGGTCAATATAGGAACAATCATACAACATGCCAGTTATCAACGAAACAATGTTGCAAGTCTTTCCTTGGCTCACAATTCTGGCAAGGACACTTGAGCTTTGCACTTCTGAATTCACCTGATTAAGACTGTGCAGATATGAAGGTGTTGCACGTAAGAAGCTTATGAAAAAACCTGAAAGCATACTCAGCAGCAACAAGTAGAGTTTGGCCTGTTAAAGAAATAGCGAAACTGAGTAAATACACAGCAAATAAGACAGAGAATTAAAATAACAACTTGAAAGTAAAGATTTTAAAATCCGTAGGAAAGTCTCCTATCTCTCATTTTCCAGAGAACAGCTGAGCAAATGCTGTAAACTGGGGGAAAGGCAGCACAGCTTAACATCTGAATATATGACTATATGAAGCAGAAGTGGAAGTTTCCTAGTCTTTATAAGATTTTTTCCTATTTTGTATTTTATTTTTAAAAATTAGGTTAGCACTCTGTCCTAGAAAAAACAAGGGGCTGTGGAGACCAAGGGTACCATGGCCGTGTTTAGCATTCAGATTGAGAACACTGAAATATAAAGGTATCCAATTTCCTAAAACCACTGTGCACACAATATCTGAACACCCTTAAAACATATTAGTATAAGTGACTAAATTAACTATTAGCACTTGAAGAACTTAGCCAAAACTTTATAGCAGATGGTGGTACAAGTGATTGGCGTTAAAACCCAATGCTGGGAAAACAACCATTGCTTTTATAAATACCTCTCAAATAAAACGTAGGGTAGAGGTGAATTTCAAAGTAAATATTGAGAAATATAACACTCTTGGCTAGTTTAAGTCTCCCAAATTACATACACATATGTCAGTTTATATCAAAACCTAACATGCCTTGCAAATGGTGTTGCATACTCTGTCTGTGACACAGGCCAACCAACATGCCTGGGTGAAGGTTCTGGACACTAATGTGGTGTAACAATTAGATTGATGACTGTGATTCATTGTTTTCCTATTGGTAAGGTGCCTATAAGTATTTGAGTATTCCAACACATGGCAACATGCCTTGAAGAAACACACGGCTTCTCTTCTCTGCAAGTGCAAGCCACATATGGTCCAAATGGCTTGTGATAGCTATATTGTGCTGCTTGATATCACTGCTGTACATTGTCCTTTTTTTCTAAGTTTTAATACTCAGAATTTGTGCATTTGTCACTCACAGTAAAGAAATGTGTGACCAACGCAATGCCTTCACCATGTGCCCCCTGTGCGACAAGTTCTGTGATTACTGGAACCTCAGCTCTGCTTGTGCTACCGCTCGAGCTAGCCACTTATTTGACAACCCTGCAACAGTTTTCTTCTCCATCTTTATGGCTCTCTGGGGTGAGTATTGTTTTGCATGTTACCAGTGTCATTTGCTCTTTGGACCCTGACGGAAACGAAACTCGCAATGCGCAGTAATAGAACATATAGTAGCCTTATGTATAATAAAGTGCTCATAGATTGAATGTGATACCAATATCTTTAGGAAGCTGGCAGACCACAGAAGTCCAGTGAGGGGCTGCCTGTGCTGAGGAGGGCAGTATTACAAGGCTTTCCACTGTCAACATCAGGCTTTGGAATAAATGGGCAGGAGTTGGGTAGTTCAGGGAAGAAAAGTGTGTCTTTTCACTCTCTACTGCCTTATCTAATGGTACATCTAAACTTTCTCATGTTTTTCTTCATTTGCTTATTTTTCTGTTGACATGGCAATTCCATTTACCACCTTCGGCATTTGGGCTCAGAATTTATTTGAGCATTGGCATGGTACAGGCAGCTGAAAGGGTTTAATTTAAGCAGAGAGTGCACCTCCATGTGGGACAACTTAGTCATATGTTTTTATCAAAACTTCATGAGATTCCAAGAACAATGGGGCTATTATCATTTTCATTATAATGTTTTAAACTATTCCTTTTAAACAAGCTTGATTTTCTTTAGTGGTAAATATATTGTGTAACACTGAGGATATCAAAACCCTTCATAAACATTAATGAATGTAGTAGTATTCTTATTGTTTCTGGCCTCAACTCTCCCCTGAAAAGTGTGTACTCTGCTTGCATGTGTTATTGCTGTTGTTATGCCCTCACTCTTGATCTGGTTTACTGTGAAAGTTAAAGGTGTTATTGCTACTATAATACACTTTTTATTCCCTGATTAATTTTTCATACAATGAAATTTTCATTCTTAATATGGAATTGAGCAAAGTTATGATTGCACTATAACTATCCCCAAGCAATCAGTGTGTTATACTTTACAACCCGTTTAGAACTTTACAGCTTGTTTTAGAAATGACTGACTGTAACTTGGTGTTGGGCATGGGTAGCATAGGATTTTTAAGGAACTTGCAGACAGAGCAGATCACGGAAGTAAGAGGTTTTTGTTTACCAGTACCTGGAAATCGTGCAGCAGAAGTTATAGAATATGTGAATACTATGACTGAGAGAAATGGCAAAAGATGATGCATTTATAGTCTCTCACACTTACTTATTTTCCTACTTCAGATAGCTGCCAATTACAGAGCAGACTGGCAAATAAGGTGTCACAGTTTACCTGCTGCCATGAAGCATGCAATATACTGCCTTGTCCAGGTTTTAGTGCAGCTCTTGGAACAGCATGTGTATGAATGACAACTCATTTACTTTTTCATAGGTAAAGAGTATTTTCCTGACAGAAAATCTGTATTGTAAACTTGTACCCATGCAGATGATCATTTCCATGCAGCCTCATCCAAAACAATTATATTTTAGTATCAGCAATACCATACACAAAGCAAAATATTGACATATCTTTCCACTAAGATAAGTTAGTAGAATCTATAGAGGAACAGAAAGGAATAAAAAGTTCCATATGCATTGCTTTTAAAAAAAACTCATATAAGAATAACAAAGTTCTTTCTGAGCTGGAGCCTCCTCCAAAAAAAGTGTTTCCCACAGACTGGAAAAGTCTGTTCTTGCGACCATGATAACTGAGCTTCTCAGTGCAAGAAAATACAGTCACCAAAGTGAAATAAGGTATGCTTTACTAACTCCACCCAGTTTGCCTATTATTAGATTACACCAAATTTTGCTCTCTTACTTCTATGAGACAATACTGGTTGTATCTAGAGCTCATTCTGCTGAACAACAGATCTCAGTCTCACATCTAATAAGCATCTCTCACAGTATCTTTAGTAAATGTCACCTGAATGCTTTCTCCAGGATATAGTATAGTGATGTACAAACTGGAATATATTATGAACTAAAATTTTGTACTCAAAAGAGTAAAGTATATTAATTTGAGCTGTTTTCCTATCATGATAGTGCTGGGCACAAGAATTCTTTCATCCTGCTTGCCTTCTCCCATTCTGTCTAACTGCAGATGACTTACTGTGATTGATATCCTGAAAGGAATCATGCTTTTACTAGCTGATATTGATGCCTCATAACATATCTGTGTGAATCTAGCAATAGTACTTTTTGCACATGATCATATCCATGAAGTACAGAGTATTGCCTGGCTACTTTTACTTAATGTCACTGGTGTTCAGGGGTGCTGAATTTTAGATATCAAATGTGTTTATTAGAAGGACAGTTCAACATAATGGAACCATTCTTTATTAGTGTAAGTCAGGGCAAACGTCCTGATTTCAGAATGGCTACAGCATCTAGACAAATAAATTTTACAGAGCTAAATGTGTAACTCACTTTTCTGAATATCAGGAAAAAAATGGAATGAGTAATAGCACCCTATAAAATAACAAAATGTTTTTTGTATTTAGGATAAATAAAAACCATAGAGTTTTCAAAACATGCTAAATATAGCTTTTATATGTCCTCTCCTCTGTAAGGAAGGAGCAGAGATAGCAACATAACAGCTTAATGTCTGGATTTACTTTCAGTGTACTGCCAGACCTGTGTTTAAACAATACTTATTTCTCACATTATGAGAGGATACCCGTGCAGAAAATATTTGCAGCTAAGTGTTGGAATAGATTCTGTCTTGTAAGAGTCAGGCTGTTTTAATAGTATTATAACTTTTCCCAGTATTATCTTACAGCTTACATCAAAAGCAGATGCAGTCAAAAAAGCCGGTTCTAATTCTCCACTGTTGTGTGTCTCATGAAGCTATCTACAAGTTGTACAAAGTGATGTAAATACTGCTCTAATCTAACAATGTTTTTATAATCCCCTTTTCACCAAAGGCAAAGCAAAGCATAAGAAAATGGAAAACAGTGCCCACAGTTGTTTATAGGTATAGTGGGTGATTTTAGTTGGTGTATACTGGTTTAGTATTAAACTAGTAATCTGAAAATAGATGTCCACAATGAAGAACAAAAAGTGCTACTTCTAACCCATAAATCCATAATTCGTGAGCAGCCAGGCAAAGGGCTATCCAGAGGAAACAGCAAGTATGAGATGAAGGTCAGGATACTAAATATGAGCAACAGTACAGCATCTGTTCCTTCATATTAACGAAAAAGGAAAAGCAGGACACTGAACTAGTGGCCAGTCCTTTCTAAAAAAATCAGTGTGTCTATGCAGGACAAAAGTATTCAATGGTACCACTATAATATATTTCAAAAGAACATTATTTTCCATATATTACTAAGGGTCTTAGTTTACATATAGGTATCAATGATTTATTTCCGTAGCAGGCTACACCTCCCTTCTTCACGTGTTTCTAACTGATTAGAAACCCTGAAACAGCAAAATCTGTCTTGTGTGTTAAAGATTAATATTTAGACTTAGGTTTTGTTTCATTTGATTCTATAATTCATGAGTACAAAGCATTACTCATAGGAAATTAAGTTCTTGGGGTGGATATCAGCAAATACGGGTTCAATATCAGTCTCTGACGAGAACTTACCAGTGTCTTTGGGCAATCTGTGTTGTGTCTTTCTATATTTTATTTGTTAAAAGACAATAATTATTGTTTCCGTGCTTTGCTTGTGCTCTTCTTTAACATTGAGCATAGGGCTGTTTTTGAGATTCAGGTGTCAGTTTGGGTTTATAAGCAACATGAACATTCACCAAAGTACATTACTTTTATAATTTTAACATTATTGTATTTTTTTAAAAGCTACTATGTTCCTTGAGCAATGGAAGCGTTTGCAGATGAGATTGAGTTACTTCTGGGATCTGACTGGACTGGAAGAAGAAGAAGTAAGTTTCCTCTCCTTGTGCTAATTTACTGTATGAACTATTCTATGTCTGAAGATATGCATTGATATTTAGATTCCTCATGAGTATTCTCCAGCTCAATGCAGTTCATAGCTATATTTTTCTAAATGAAAATAACTGATGCAGTTTTGAGTACCAACATATCATTAAAGAAATCATGGCCTATATTTTACTGGTGAGCACTCCAATTTTAATAGTTAATATTAAAAAATATTAGAAGTAACAGCAGATCATTCTTTGCTAAGAATGCCCATATACCGTTATACAGACTGCAGTAACAGGATGATACAGAATAAATACTTTATAATACAGATGCTATTTCATTCTGTATAACAAAAATTCTCTGTGATGATGATTGTAATATGTCAGGGTAACATAAATAATATTTGCATCCAGGTCTGTGCTGCCTTAGATACATTTGTGAGCAGAGCTGTTCCAAACAACAAATGGGGTTGATTTCTTGAGAATAGTTTTTAAGTGCTTTGCAGTGAAGCCATGGGATTTCCATCTGTAACTGAGTTGACTGAAAAGTGAGACATTCTTGTTTATTAGCATTTACAATAAATTTGGTTTTAGTTCTGTTTGCACGCATTGCTTCACATGTGTCATGGCTGTTTAAATTACTGACTCTCACCAGAGGATACATTTCTAACTGACTAAAGAGAGCACATTTACCAGCTGTAAACATTATACTAAGAACTGGTAGATTTTGGACCTTCCATTACATATTCCCTAGCAGGAGGTGCTGATGTGGCTCTAGATTAGGGTCATATTCAGAATTAGATTCCCTTTAATCATTAATGGTGAGCTGAGTATATGGAACAATTTGGTGTGCCTTACTTTCTTTATTGACTTAAATAGAATGTAGTCTGGTTCCTAGAATGTAAATTGTAGGCCTACCTTAGTTTGATGGGAGATTTCAAATCTAATGCTTCATAATCCAGCACAGTTCCTTAAACAACAAACCACATACAAGCTTCCAGCCCTGCTGCTGGAGCTCAACTCAGACAGGATGTAGAGTGCAAATAGCCAAGAGGAAAAGTAAACTGACATCATGAACTTCATGATGTAGCACGGTAATAATGTCATTCCTCTTCTGTCTGTTCCTCAGATAATAATTACTGGATAAAATGAAAAAGTAACCCTGAGACTCCAGTATTCCTCTTCTTAAATCACTTTCCCAAAGTACAGCATTAGCAATGTAGTTGGGTCCTAAGTATACTTTCACTGATGATGTGACTACAGCCTCCACTATTTTCCTGTTTTCTCAGCTGTTTCACTACCCTCTAGCCACTTATGACATGAGTGATGCTCACAGTATAACCCAGTACTCACAGTTTGTTTGCTGTGATGCGAACCAAGTGCCTCAGCATATCAGAAATTATTGCTTGTCCTACGTGGAAAGTCATACTGTTCCTTGGGAGAACAGCAATTTTGTACTAATTACAGCACAAACTGAGAGGCTGGAGAGCAAACTCCTGGCTCTGCAGAATACTTCATGAACCCACGAGATTTTACTGAATTTCAAGTTCATCACTTGCGGTACAAAATCCTTGAGTTTTTCTCAGTATTTGCAAAATGCTGTGAAAGAATTTATAGATTTGTGAGGTCCTGTGATGGAGAGATCTGAAGTGGTAAAAGTTTGTGGACGGCAACTATGGGATCAGCCAGAATCCTTTGTTTATGACAAGTGAAGGAGTGCCAAATATATCTCAGCCCAACTTAAAGAATTAGGAACACAGAATCATAAAAATAAGTCTGGAATGGACCTTGAGGGGCCATCCTTTGACCATGGTAGGATCAACTCTACTTAAATCATTATGGAAAGTTGTTTGTCTAGTTTATTCTTAAATAAATCCAGCAGTGGAGATTTTGCTTTCATCCCTAGGCAATCTATTCTAATATTTTTCTATCCATACCACTGATATGCTTTTTTTAGTGTGTAACTTAAATTTCCTCGCTAAATGTTTTGGGTTTTTTTTCTTGTTCATTCTTTCAAAGAGATTACCTCTGTCCTCTTTTCAGCAAAATTCAACACAATATCATATTTGTCATCTTTTTTTTAAGATGAACTTTCCTCTGCTCTTTCAGTCTTTGTTCTTAAATCATTTTCCAGACATCTATTTATTCTTGTTCCCTTCTGAATATTTTCTAGTTGATCCATCTCTTTCTTGGAGAATAATGTTCAAAACTGACATGTATCTTGATCTGACATCTTAAGCAAAAAGCCGTGCATCCTACCATCTTCTCTCAGCTCTTCGTACTTCAGCAAAAATGGAAAAGTCAGATCATGTTTTGTTCTCCTTTTATCCATTGGATTCATAAAGATAAAGATAAATTTCTCTGTAAGACAGATACAAGCACCATGTTTCAGTCATGGCGAAGTCTTTACAAATGCTGAAAATTGTGTTGGAAAATGGAAAATTGTGTCTGATTTGGCTAGGCCAGAAGGAACTAGAAATGGAATGCATAGGATCACTTAATAGAGCAAGAAAGAAAGGGGCAAGGAAGAAATTCAGAAGGTTTTCCAGTTTTAAGGCTAGTTGGGGTTATTGATCATTATGAATTTATTTAGAGAGGGAAGTTAGGGAACCCAAACAGGGAGGAAAACAAACATTAAAGTTGAAAAGCTGAGAAGTACATTATGAGAATTATATTAAAATAAATGCCTTTAGTGTAATTTTTGTGGGATTTTGACTATAAAATTTTCAGTAAAATTACTTTCCTTAAACACAGTAGGCCAAATCTTTTGCTTCAAAAGAGTCACACGAGAGATTAATTTAGTCCATTTGTTTGTAAATATCTTGGCAACAGCAGTCTGAGAAAGCAGACTCCCTAAGGCTTGCCTGCATATTTGCAGCTGGCAGCGATTCAGACTTAGAGGATTTGTGTTTGTACATCTGAAATCCCCCAAAATATAGGTAGCATTGGGTGCTAGACTGCAAAATAGATAATTGTTTTGAAAAGCAATTGAGCAACTGAAAACTAAATGGGAGGGGAAAAGAAAAGAAATAAAGCAAGACTAGAAGCATAGAAGCAGAAGAGTCTTGGAAATACCATGAATAAGAACTGAATGTGTCATGTCACAAATGTGTGTTTGTGCAACCAGTCAAACAGGTTGTGCATTTGTTTGTTTTTCAGGTTGTATAATAAGGGATAGAGCCGCCATTAGTAGAGTAGGGACAGAGGTGGAAAAGTCCATACCCTCTTCTACTTACGAAGAAGCTGATGAAAAAATACTGAGGGACTCTAATTAATGATGTGGGGAATAGAAACTACTGGCCTCTCCTGAATCTTCAGAAGCTGTATTTCTAGGACCCAGGATGCTCCTGATTTAGGTTTTCTGAATGGAAGAGATTTTGCCTTATTTTATCAACAGTTCTGTGTAGACTGAAATACAATTGCAAATATAACTGTTGAAATCTTAGAATTTGGAGCAGAACTTGGATGAATAAATGAACAGAAAGTCCACACTAACTGAAATGACGAGTGAACGTCTTGCTATTGTTCAAATAGTCACACTATTATACTGTTCCAGTATATTAGGGAGGAATCTGACTGTCTGTCTTTGTTAGAAATGTGTTTGGTAAGTTACAATTTTAAGTTAAAATCCTGTGCTCTGTAAAATGCTTGCAAACTTTTTATGCAAACTCTAATTCCCCAAGTCTTGTTCATCCTTTTACTATTTGATAACTTGAAACAAATATTATTGAACTCTTTAGGGAAGACTTTAAGAAACCCTGTGGATTATCACTGAATTAAGATAAAGTAATAAGGAGGGTAGATTGGATAAGGCAGAATTAAATGGGAACCAGACTAGGGTTTTAAATACGTTTACAGATAAATCCTATTTTCTCCTTACTCAATCATGATTTAACTCAATCTTCTCCACATTTTAAAAATTTGTTGTGACCAGATTAATTTGATGTTTTCACCTTGCCTTCCAGCACATTCCTTTTTTGAATTTCCAGTAGCATCTACTAAAGCTGGCAGTATAAAATATTTTTTTTTGCTTAAAAAATGGAGGAGTGCAAAGTAGACTACAATAAAATAACTGTATTCACAACTTACTCGTCTTGGGAAAGAATGGCCAGTAATTGTAAAAGGGGAATGTGTAGCTACAATATTTGTGTTTTCTTCCTTTTTAAATGTATTTGCCATATTATTCTCTGAAGCCTTTGTTTGGAAGATCTTGACTCACATGGTGAAGGGGCATAAAATGCCTCAACAGTTCACTGACATCACTAGGTAGAGATTCCTTCCATAGTTTCAAGATCCTAATTTTAGTGTGTCATCCATCACATATACCTACCGACTAAATATTTGGAGAAGTAATTCCAGAAATAAAGCGAACAGTGTTTGCGGTGGAAGGGACTAATTAATCAGATAAGTTTTCCCATAGTATAACCAAGGCACGGAAAAGAATGCATGGGTTAGGAAGACTCTTTTAGCAATGGTGAGCTGTTAAATCAGCTTGTCTGTAGCATGAAACTTCATTTGTAGATCACAGCAGCTTAGGACAGTCTAACTCCATAGTACTGAACGCTACTATCCCAGCCGTGCAGCCTGGTTCTTCCTCTTACATGCATGCTGGCAATCATACAGCTGAGTGGTGAGCAGTTCAGACAGCTGATACAGGTGGAGGGTAGACAGGGGTATGAGGAGAGGGAGTTTTTATCCTGGTCACATCATGCACCTACGTATACACTGGTTTCAGTATAAGGACAGAAGAGGAAATGTGTGGCCAGTGTAAGATGAAATTGAGTCTGAGAGTAGGGGAGCCCAGGCTTAGATTGGCTTATGCTGCTCAGAAACTCAAGCCATTAAAGTGAAGCCTAAAGTATAAAAGCTTTTGACTACAAATTCAACATTTGTGTTTTCTTCAAATAAATTGTTTTCATGAACATTCCTGGCTGCTAATCCAGTCATTGGGATATTTATGGGGGGAAAAAAAAGGAGGCACCGGTACAGCTGAAGCAAATTAATAAAGACTGAACAAGTGTTTACGGTCAAAGAGATTTTTAGTTCAGGTTAGCTAAAGTGTCTGTATTTCTCTACATTAGACAGGTGCCAATTCTTTAATCTGGATCATGGTTTAACTTGAAAAGTTCACAAAGCCTTGGAAAGACAGTGGTTGGTTAGAATATACATCTCTGGAACAAGATAATTTGGGGTCTTAAAAAGCTTTTGTTAGCTTGCCTCTGATGTATGTGTTTTAGGCTGTGTGCCTTAAATAGACTCCCATTATTTCTACCTAGTAAGCCAAGTTGCCTGTAAACCATGGGTTCTGAGGCTGAAAGGAAGAAAACTCCAGGGAAATTAGAATTCCAGAAACATCATAAATCTTGATTTGTGGCAGTAGCTGGGTCATTCCAGTTCTCACTTGTGGAAGCCTTCCTTCCAACCAGTGTGAACTGCTTTGCTGCTCTGCTTATGTTCAGTGTATTAGGAGAAGGCTGTTCAATGAATTTGTAGTGTTTTTTGACTTTCCTTGAAGTATCAAAAAGAAGCAGTATGTTGGCTAATTTTTTGCGCATAACTCCTTCAGTCTTTTGATATGGAATAGTTTCTGAAGTTCTGCTTTTTCTTAGCAATCCAGATGTGTTTGTCATGCATGCTTTTTAAAATTCCATTATCACTTTCTTCCTAAATCAAAGAGGACTTAAGGATAGATTAGTTTGCACTATATATTCTTATCATTACCTACACAGCCTTAATTTGCAATGAACAGTAGATACACATGTTGTATGTTTGAGACAAATCCTGAAGACCATTCTCAGGGAAAACTCCCACTGACGTCAATATGAGTTTTGTCTGACTAAAAATTTCATGATTTGGCCCTTTGTTTTCAAGATGGGAATTATCGTTTTCTACTCTCAAAGTACCTCAAAGTACCTCAAAGGCCTCAAAGTACCTTGGCTCACATGGTTTTCAATAAGTGTCTGGCAGCTGTACTGGCACACTTCCAGCAAGTGGATTCATATTTATCCCTACATGGACATTTGGCCTTCCTTAAGTCATCAGAACTATTTCTAGGTTATTGTCTTAAGTGTAGAACTCTTCCAATTCTCATACAAAGAACTGATTCTGAATCACACTCTTTTTCCAACAGAGCAGAATTGTTCCTTCACATCCATGTATATATGACCAGCATTAAGTATCTCTAAATCTGTTTTGCAAAGAAAAGTTTCATGCAATGTACTCATAAAAAGAAAATACAGATAGATACAATCATTCCAGGAGGTGCTGTGGTCTGTTTAGTAAAGGGTAAGATGACTTGGCACATTTGGTGAAGACAGATCAACTAGTTTTCCAATCCAGATGTAGGTGTAAGAAATGCAGTTTAAAGGATATTGAAATGTCTTACTAGGAAAACTAAATATAACTTGACCAAATTTGAACAGAATGTGTGCTTAAAGCAAAACTGTCAATCGCACAGAAGTAAGTTACGGTACAATGTCTTATTTGGAATTTTATTTTCTCACCCTGTTTCCTTTCAAGCCAATTTCAAAAGTTCTTCTGACCTCTGGCAGCTGCCCCTGGTGTCCCAGAAAGCTTTACTTAACAGAAAATAAGAAGAAATGAAGAAAGCCAATTCAGTTTGGAGGTGCTCCCATAGTATGATTATATCTCCTGAGTTTCTTATAGCTTCGTTTATCTCATTTCCTTACTTTCATCAAGCTGTCTCCTCTCATGTAGTCATCCATGTCTGATGCCTTCATCCTTTCTTCATTTAAGTCTAAAGATGTTTCTTCCATCTGACCTTATCTAAGGAAGCATTATACAAATTAATGCACATCAACAAGCTAGTGAAAACTTACAAAACATCAGGATACGGGCATTGAGCACAATATCTTAAAACACCTGCTGTTGTATCTTTGTCTTTCCTTTCCTCATCCTGCTCACTACTACTTTTGCTGCTAATCAACTTTCATTAAGTCAGATTATCTGTGCCTCAGTATTTCTTGAGGTTCCACATATACTCTTTGTAAGTAATAACAACAGTGATCCTTGAGACAAGGAGTGCTGGAGTGATTCCCGAACCTCATTCATTGTAGCACCGATTTTTTGTGTGGCACTGCAATGCAAAGAGTGTCATGCTTGCACCCTTAAAACGTATTTTATTGATTTGAATAGTACATGAAATTACGAGTGGAAAATAAGCTGTCAGACTAGCAGTTTCATATTTGTTTGATATAGCATCCTAGTGCTAGAGTCTCAAGGCATAGCAGTACCTGAGCTTTAGAGGAAAAATGTTCCCTCAGGCCTCCCATGTTAGCACCAGACCCCTTTTCTAACCTTTAGTTTCTCCCTATAGCATCCCATAATGAGTCCTGTGCAATCTCTAAGA